TGTTCAATTTTATATTTACACACGCTCTATCTCTGATATTGAACACTTTATCCCATAAATATAGCACACCTTAAGACTATATTTCTTCATATATATATATATATATATATATATATATATATATATAAGGACACTTTACACTGTTTTGATGTCAGGAACCCCTGTCACACCATATATATTTAATATATATATATATATATATATATATATATATATATATATATATATTTCACATATAGTGCTGGTGGTAATAAAATAGTGCTCGATGTAAAAAAAAACAGAGCTATTAAGTATACATATTATCCCTCACCAGTGGCACAACTCGGAGTTTCAGGCACAACACCATTTTCAGGTGCTGAGTATAGATTTACCGTTACGTAATTTAAAATTTAATGAATCTATGAATCTATCTATCTATCTATCTAATATATACATATAGATCAGATTAGAACCAGTCTGTACATTGAGTGGCTCTCAAAAATCTGTAATCATCTATCCTCGTTATCCTGCAAACCCCACTTTCACTCAGCATTTTAACAGCAACAGATCATAAATATCAATAGTTATTTATAATTATCATCATAGTCATCACTACCTGCCACCTCCACTTTCATTCATATCACATACCTCATTTCTCCTTATTATTTTAACAGTCACCCTCTACCTTGAGTGACTCTCAAATATCAATTGTTATCTATCCTCTTTATATTATCCGTATATTACAATTAAATTGATTGTAATGTACGGAAAAATATTTGAGAATATGAAAGAATTATGATAAAAATAAGCAGATACAATGTTTGTAATTTATTCAATCAGTCATGCCTAAAAAAAAATTTTCTGCCTAAATACCCCAATATATATATATATATATATATATATATATATATATATATATATATATATATATATATATGTATTGAGGTTTCTTCTAGACTCGATGAATTGCTTAATTATAATTATATCTTCTAATTTCTATCACTTGTATATCCTTGCTTGAACCAGCTTCTAATGATCTGGATGGAGCGGCTTGGAGATAGTAGGCATGGCTCGTGGGGGCACAGTCCACCACGGAATATGTGATCGAGCGGCGCTATATCGAGTCTGATTCGTTACCTCTTTGTCACCGAGGCCCGTTGGTACAGTTGGTATGATGTTTGCCTGATAACGTAACTATCCACGTTTCCATTCTCGGTAGTGGATGCGCAGTGATTTCTGCATTCTGTTGAGGTTTCTTCTAGACTCGATGAATTAATTATAATTATCTCAAATTATCCTAATTTCTATCACACACACACATTCACACACACACACACACACACACACACACACACACACACACACATATATATATATATATATATATATTGTGCATGTTTCATTAAATAATATAGACAAATTTTGTGTATTTATTTTAAGTAAGTTCCTTTCATATTGTCTGATAATCTTAATCACATTATTGTTGAAAGACGAAAGGAAAACATCATATTGATACATGTTTAAATCCAATCTAAGCTTTCGGCTTACATAAGCGATTATCAAAGATGACAATTAATTTTCAATATATCAACCAATACACGGACGAAACAATAATGATAGTCTGTTTTTGTTGCATGAAAAATTTCAAAGAAACGAGTAATACATGTATACGAGACGCGAAAGCGGAAATCGCGTCACAGCTCGTGACGTCACTCATGACCACACGAGAGGGAAATCGAGAAGTATTAAGTATGGGAAGCCATGGGCTTAAACCAATGACTTCGGTTATAGATTTGATTTAAAGATGTATCAATATGGTGATTTCCTTTTGTCCTTCAATGATAATGTTATTAAGCTTATCAGACAATATGAAAGGAACTTACTTAAAATAAATAGACATAACTTCCCTATATTATTTAATGAAACAAATATAAATATATATATATATATATATATATATATCCATACAGGTGATTGAAAAAGTAACTCCCTATTTTTATGTATGAGTAACCACCCTGTGACTTTTTCTTTGGGGATAGTTAAAGGAGCAATTGTACGATACCAAACCAAGACTTTGTAAGAACTTAAAGGGCAAAGAAGCTATGTCTTCCATGCAACAAGAGTTCCTCGTGAAATCAATTGATGCGATTCTTGTGCGTCTTGAGAAGCTGGTTTGCGAATGCCATTTCTTGCAATAATTATAGTTTATAAATAAATTATAAGTGATTAAAAATGTGGAGCTACTTTTCAATCACCCTGTATAAGTACGAACACACACACACACACACACACACACACACACACACACACACATATATATATATATATATATATATATATATATATATATATGAATGAAAAACTAAAATTCCTTGCCTCATTTTTGGTTTTCCCAGCTTCTTGTTTTATTTATGTCGATCTTCTATTTCGTTTTTTTTTTCTCTTTCCGTCTGCCAAGGAAATTTTTCACTGCACCCCGCTTGGTGACGTTTTTTTCCCTCTCTCTCATTCACTCTTTTTTTTTTTATTATTTTTCCAGCAGGCATATCTCAACCCACACAAAAATAATAAAGGAAAAACAAAAACAAAACAAAAAAACAAACTTCCATGTTCTCAACAACAACTGCAGAAGCAGTGGCGTGATCTTAATTCCCGATGCGTCAGCAATTTCGTTACTCTTAGCCTCCATTATAGAAAGACCCTTACTCATTAGCGCTCAAAGTCTAATTCCTACACAGCATTTTCATGTGCGACACTTCTTTTGTATATCTTATCACGTGGCTTGTCACGAATTAGAAACCCTCACGTCTTCTCCGTAGGTGCGTAGATGAAGCTAAGATTTTGAATGATCATTTTACAGTCAGCTTTTCTCAACTTGAAGTGCATAGCAACATTTTCTACAAAGCTGCAGCAGTGGAGCGCTTGGTACAATAAATTTATACTAGCGGATGGTCCGCGAAAGAAGCTCATTAACCACTGCACCATTTAAAATTAAGTATCTATCCCTGTCTTAATAGTAAGTCTAATCGGTTCGTTTAGGTCAAATTGACTCATTGCCCCTTCACTGGCTGACGTTTTCCACTGGCATGAAGTGGTTTGGTTTGGTTTATTTTGTTTTACGGCATATCTACTACAATGGATTATTTAATGCCGACAACATTTTTAGGATAGATTCGTATGAATAGAATATGTATTCTTTGGTTTAGATTGGTTTGGTTTTTTTTTTTTTTACGGCATATCAACCTCAATGGGTTGTTTAATGCCGACAAGATTTTTAGGATAGATTCCTATAAATAGAATATGTATTCTCTGGTTTAGATTGGTTTGGTTTATTTTGTTTTACGGCATATCAACCTCACAGGGTTATTTAATGCCGACAACATTTTTAGGATAGATTCGTATGAATAGAGAATGTATTCTTTGGTTGAGATTGGTTTGGTTTATTTTCGTTTACGGTATATCAACCTCAATGAGATATTTAATGTTGACAAATTTTTTTATTGTTGGTAATACTTTGTTTTGTCAAAAATCTGTTTCTGGTAATATATTTCCTTCAAAATTATATTGCTGGTAATAACTTTTTTCAAAACAGTATTGCTGGTAATAGTTAACTATTTGCCGATAGCTGGGACCCTAACAGGTGCTACCACCCCGGGTCAGAGTGGACCTGGGAACACCAGTAATTAAGAGGTGGTTCCACGCTCCTCAAAACCTCCTGATCAGAGGCCTTGCTGTTGGACGTAGTTTAACGTCTTACCCAGGACGCGGTTGTAGATTAACGTCTGACCCAGGACGCGGACGTAGTTTAACGTCTTACCCAGGACTTTGGCATAAAGTGAAAAGATTACAATGCATAAATTGCTAAATCTGCAGCTAAGAAAGTTTGTTTTCCCTGTGTCGTGCTAGAGAATTTTTGATGCCAGTAACTATTTTACATTGTTATAACTCTGCCATTCTTTCATTCTTTGAATATCATTGGCACATATGGTCAGGTGTTCCTGCTATGCATTTGTACCTGTCTGTAAGCCTGAGCGGTTCGATACAAATAAATTGGCAGCCGATCTCAAAAGTGATCTAAAATCTACTGTTAACTGGGGTAAGAAATAGCTTGTTAATTTTAACGCTTCAAAAACGAAACATCTCTCTTTTAATCTTTTGAGAGAACGCTTTACTTTCTATCAGGATCTCAAGGAGAGTGTTCCATTGCACATTTTCGGACTAACGTTTACCATTGACATGAAGTAGAAAGATTATATCGAATCAGTTGGGAGGTCTGCTGCTAAATCTTGCTTCTCTGTGTCATGCTAGAATCCAAATTCAATATCGATCGTTATCTTCTTAATTCTTGTTCTTTTATTGTTCTCTCTCCTTAATAGTGTTCTTTTCTCAAATTCTCTAACACTCAGCAACCCCTGCCTCTTAGTAGATTTATTGCCTTGCTTGGGGTGAAAAGATTACAAAAATATAATAATAGTATAATTAGCTCTTTCTATACAGGAAATATTCGGCATTCATTGAGTAAACAGTGCTAATGTCCCTTTAAAATTTATAAATAAAAAGAGCTTTTCGTCAGTTCCATAAATGGAATTGGAATTCGTGAGTCCAATATCTGTCGTAGCTCTTTCTATTATAGAGTTTCGTTCCAGAATTTTTGCTTTTGGTCATGTGGAAAGTTAACAGTCTGATTATATCATTATTTCCTCTATTTGCTATTCGCTTTTGTTTTTACTGCTGCCGAAAGTTTTCAACACAATGGAATTGTTTGAAGACACACACCAAATTAAGTGAGCCTTAAATGATTCTACCTGCAGATGATTTTATGACTGCGTAGGGAAATCTAAAAAATAGGATCTACGGAGCACTCGCCTACTTTACGGAAGTAGCTTGAAGGGAAGCGAAACAAATAAATAAAATAGTGAAAACTTTAGGGATCAAAAGCGGAAATGTAGTGAAGTGGAAACAGAAAAGCGGAAATTGTGATGTAGAAATGAGCATCGGGCTCCTAGGTAAGAGTAGGCAGTTTATGTGTTTTTTTTCTTCTTTTGAGTGAGTGAGAGATAGTGAGAGAAAGAGAGAGAAAAAGAGAGAGACAGAGAGAAAGAGAGAGAGAGAGAAAAGAGAGAGATAGAGAAAAAGATAGAGAGAGAAAGAGAGAGAAAGAAAAGAGAAATAGAGTAAAAGATAGAGAGAGAGAAAGAGAAAGAGAAAAAGAGAGAGAGACACTGAGAGAAAGAGAGAGAGAAAGAGTGAGAGGAAAAGAGATAGAATAGAGAGAGAGAAGAGAAAGAGAGAGAGAGAAGAGAAAGAGAGAGAGAGAAGAGAAAGAGAGAGAGAAAGATTGAGAGAAAGAGAGAGATAGAGAGAAAAAGAGAGATAAAGAGAGAGAGAGAGAAAAAGAAAAAGAGATAGATAGATAGAGAGAGAGTGTGTGTGAGAGAGAGAGAGAGGGAGAGAGAGAGAGAGAAAGTGAAATCAAAAGAGGTATAAGACCGATATTCTCGCTGGCTGAAGGGAAAATCTGGTTCGTTAGTCTGTCGTGAGCAGTGGAGATGTTCTAAGTGCTACCCGTCTATAGATAGATAGCTATGAATGAGTTGATATAGATAGATAAATATGATGTGATATGAATAGGTATATATGAATAGAAAGAAAGAAAGAAACAAACAAACAAACAAAAGAAAAGAAAAGAAAGAAAGAAGGAATAAAGAAAGGGAGGAGTAAGATAGATACTTAGATTGAAATGAACGGACAAAGCTGGATAGACATATATAGATAAATACGAAAAGATCGAGAAAGAAACAGATTGAAATAATATCGATTGGTTTCTTTTTTACGGCTTATCAACATTTTACAGGTTATCTAAAGCTAGAAAATATTTTTGGATTGTAAGTAGTTCCTGGAGATAATGATTTACAGATACATGTCTTACTATTTAACCCATTGCTGAGGCGGAAGATGGATTATTGAGTAAGTGAATATAACGTATCCAACTAGGAATTGAAATACAATTCTCCAATTTTCAATTCCGTGCCTATATCAATTATACCACCCACACATCCAATCTTATAGCACCCCAAGCGGTCATCCATTAAGTGAGCAGTATTATTTTAGATTTTTGTATCCATTTGCAACATGAGGAGATAATGGTTCATAATAAAATCTTTAGACTTTATTCTTGAGCATCTTATATAATAAAAAAGATATGATCAGATGAAGCATAGATGGATAGATAAAAACAGACTGAGATTGATACATAAATATGAACAGACAGATAGATAGAGAGATATGAATAGATTGAGAGTGACAGAGAAATATGAACAGAGATAGACAGAAAAATAGATAGATAGAAATACAGATAGATAGATAGATAGATAGATATGAACAGATTTAGATAGATATGAACAGATAGATATGAACAGAATGAGATAGATTGATAAATGAATAGGTATGAACAGACTGAGATAGACATGAATAGTCTGAGATAAATAGATATCAACAGATTGAGAGAGATTGATAGATAGATAGGTAAGTTTGAAAAGATATAAACATTTACGAATACGAAGGAACTCTAATAGATATGAACTTAGATAATCATCACGCATATGTAAGCAGGAATATTAACAGAGAGGAAAGCTGAATATCTATCTATCTATCTATCTATCTATCTATCTATCTATCTATCTATCTATCTCATTCTGTTCATATCTATCTCGGTTTGTTTATAAGCGACCCATATGTAATCTATCTATCTATATCTAATCTATCTATCTATCTATCTCATTCTGTTCATATCTATCTCGGTTTGTTTATAACCGACCTATCTATCTATCTATCTATCTATCTATCTATCTATCTATCTATCTATCTATCTATCTATTCTGTTCATATCTATCTCGGTTTGTTTATAAGCGACCTATCATCTATCTATCTATCTATCTATCTATCTATCTATCTATCTATCTCATTCTGTTCATATCTATCTCGGTTTGTTTATAAGCGACCTATCTATCTATCTATCTATCTATCTATCTATCTATCTATCTATCTATCTCATTCTGTTCATATCTATCTCGGTTTGTTTATAAGCGACCTATCTATCTATCTATCTATCTATCTATCTATCTATCTATCTATCTATCTATCTATCTATCTCATTCTGTTCATATCTATCTCGGTTTGTTTAATCTATCTATCTATCTATCTATCTATCTATCTATCTATCTATCTATCTCATTCTGTTTATCTATCTCGGTTTGTTTATAAGCGATCTATCTATCCATCTAGTATCTATCTATCTATCTATCTCTATCTATCTATCAGAGAGCGACCTATCTATCTATCTATCTATCTATCTATCTATCTATCTAAATCTATCTACAGATGATTAGTTTGTGGATAAGAATCTATATTATTATGATATCAAAGGTCATCCATCTCGGTTTTGCGGATCTGTCTAATTATCTATCTATCTTATCTAAACCTGATGACATCTATCTCGGTTTGTTTATCAGGATCTATCTATCTATCTATCTATCGATCTATCTATCTATCTATCTATCTCATTCTGTTCATATCTATCTCGGTTTGTCGAACATCTATCTATCTATCTATCTATGAATCATCTATCTCATCTATCTATCTATCTCATTCTGTTCATATCTATCTCGGTTTGACCTATCTATCCATATCTATTATCTATCTATCTATCTATCTTTATCTATCTCATTCTGTTCATATCTATCTTAGGACCTTTATCTATCTATCTATCTATCTATTCTAGAATCTATCTATCTATCTATCTATCTCATTCTGTTCATATCTATCTCGGTTTTGTTTATATCTATCTATCTATCTATCTATCTATCTATCTATCTATCTATTATTATCCTCATCATTCTGTTCATATCTATGCCAATGTTTATAAAGTTCCATCTATCTATCTATTAGGATCTATCTATCTATCTATCTCATTCTGTTCATATCGTTTCTACCTGAGATCATCTATCTATCTATCTATCTATCTATCTATCTATCTCATTCTGTTCATATCTATCTCGGTCTGTTTATAAGACCTATCTATCTATCTATCTTCTAATCTATCTATTTCTATCTATCTATCTATCTCAGTCTGTTCCTGTCTTGGTCTTCTCAATATCCAGCTTGTTATCAATCAATAGGAACATAGAAAGAGGACTTTATTCATCACCACAGTATGAAAACTAGGACAGAGAGATGAAAGCGAAAGACACAGATGATTAGGTGGATAAGAAGATATTTTGATGTCAAAGGTCATCCAACGGGCGGACGTGTCAAAATTAACTTAAAACCTGATGACAACATCAGGACTGACAATTAATGTCGACAAGAATTTTTTTTTCGGATCGAACAAGTGCGAGAAACATGAATCAGATCTCAGCTCAAGTTTGTCCATGTCTTGTCCGTCATTTTCTTTCTCTTTACTGCTCTTAGGTTTAGTAGTTAGGATTGATTCTAGAATCAGTGATGTGTCCGTGTGTTCGGCCTTGGATCAAAGTGTTGTTACCTCAGCTTCTGATCGCTGCCAATGCTCGAAGTTCCATCCTCTGTTTAGGATCAGCTTAGCGTATGTGCGTTTTACCTGAGATCAAAGTGTTAATATCTTATACTGTCTTTTATTAGAGCTCAGCACTTCAACTTTCGGGCTGCGATTAGAGTTGCATTTTCACCGTTTCTTGTACCCACAACAATGCGAGCGGCGTTTGTATCTTGAGGAAGTTCACAATGAGGCAAGTCAGGCTGGTCTCGAAGATTTCAACCGTGTCGCAGGACCTTTCTCACTACGCCAAAAGTGATGTGATGGATTATTCCGACACTCTCGTGGTAGTGCTCACAAGGAATGTGCAATCGACACTGATTCTTAAAATGAGAAAAGAAAGTTGAAATATGTAGGACACATAGCGATGAAAGAGTGCTTCGCGAATTTGATACTCACTGGACATACTGAAGCCAGGAGGGAAAACAGCGAACAAATTTATGCAGTGAGATTGTGTGAAGAGAGAGCAGAGCGGGAACAAAGAGTCAAACGAGACAGGAAGTTGAGGAGAACCATGATGGTCCATGCCCCGAAAGAACAACGTATAGAAAAAAATCAAACCTAATTTGCAGTGTTATGTGTTTAGTAAAGATGGGGATTAACTTGAATTAAAAAATCTGCAATTTTGAAATGGTTGGTTAGTTGCGTTTGTGATATATCAAACTTTGTTGGGTTATTTTTATTGTTTTTAATCAGTTCACCCCAAGCAAAAGGTGATGTTGAACTAGAAGTTTAACACGATCTTCTTTAATGTTAAATTTTTGTGTAGGTCTATTCGTCTGTTTCTAGATTTTCTTGTAAAATTATTCAAAGCTTTCTTTAATCTATGCAAATCATTGGGCTCGTTTACAAGTGTTAAAAAATGAATTTCTTACGAACTTTATATTACAAAGAAATTATATATATATATATATATATAATACCAATTTGTGATTGGTAGGGATAATTCCAAGGAGGATATTAATCCAGTGAGAGAACAATGTAAACTAGAGAGAATAATAATAATAATAATAATAATAATAAATCAAGAAAAACCTTAAAGATCCATTGCGGATTTAATTTATTTCGTGAATATTTTACATAATCATCTCTTCAGACCGAAAGTTCTTAATGATTAATCTAATGATTAAGAACTGAAGAGATCAATATATAAAAATATTCACGAAATAAATTATAACCTAAATTGATCATTAAGGTGATATATTATTATTATTATTATTATTATTATTATTATTATTATTATCTCTAATTTACATTGATCTCTCACTGGATTAATATCCTCCTTTGAATTATCCCTAACAGTCTAAATTAGTAATATATATATATATATATATATATATATATATATATATATATATATATATATATATATATATATATATATATATATATATGGTGTGATGGGGAAATTGTCGCTGTGTTATATTTATAATTTTACGCATGGGCATTGGTTCTGATTATGCACAATATAGTAACGTTAGTCGATCACAATGACGCAATTCACTCCACCAGAAATTTCGAAACAGCATACTCTACTACTTTGTAGAACAATCACGTTGTCAAGATAAACGCTCAGTTGTGGATCAAACTGAGAAAAGACGCATTCACCTTGAGAAAGAGAGCTATTTATGGTGCCATGGAGCATCTCATTGTGCTCAAGTGGGATATTCTATTGGTTGGGCTGTGATTGGCTGCTGGTACATGAGTGGAGGTATGTCTGTATTAATACCAGCTTGATTCCAGTCAGTTTGCGGGGTTTGTATTGTTACAACCTGCTTTATTTTTGTCTGCCAACTGGACGCTAGCTGGGACCCTTACCCCGATAAGTGTTGTTATTCTATTGTTATTCTACATTCTTGTCATTTTGAAATACATTGCTGAGGATTGTTTTATGGATTAAAAACAACAGATTTTCAAGGCTGTTTCCAGACAGATTCTTCATTACGTAATGCAATGAAAACATAATGAATTCACGAAGTGAAAAGAGTTTTCTTTTTCTGTGAAACAACATTTGCGGAGTTCAATGATTTTCCGAGGACATTAAAGAGAATTACTTATGGGAAAGAATATGGCGGTGAAATGGTTTTACCAATTCCAATTCTGCGAAATCGTTTGATTGGAAACCTAAAAAGTAAAATAACGAAGATAATCAGAATAAATGATCTATTTTGGAAAATTTCACAATATTTTAAAAGAGTGACATCTCCAAATTTTTATTTTAAATTCTGGCATCTTTATAGCCCAGAAAACTAGATATAAATGATCTTTCTGTAAGACGAGGATGCTTAAAAGTTCTGGAGACGACGCAATTGACAAAATCTTATCTAATAAACGCATAAGATAAATTACCCCCTTTTTTTAAAAGGCTTTCTCCGTCAGAACAGGAAATTTATCACAGACGACTGATGATTGTTTTGGTAAATGTATTAAAAATTAATTATAAAAACTATCATACGATTTATACAGCTCCCGTCTTTTTGAACAGGAGCAGAGGTTTATCCCTTGTTTCCGGTTTAGTGTTGGGTTTCCGTTTCCATCTAAAGTTCTCTCATTCTTTTTCCCTTTCCCTGCGTCTTAGTGGCATTATCGCCTTGCATGAGGTAAATTGATTAAAAAAATGTAAAACATTTATATTAAAAGGCCGCATTCGTGTTTTGTAGAGACAATCTGATCCAAATGTTAAAAATAAAAACTTATTCTTTTCTTCCATTGTATTCTGAAATTTTCTTATGATTATAAAGGTCATTTTTAGTGGGTACACGCATTTGAATTGACATTTCTGTTTTCTTTTAGCTTTTCTTAAACTGTGAAACTAATGTCCACCTGCTTAAATTGTGAAGTCCTACTAAAGAAAATATGACTTCCAACCGGGATTGAACCTGTAATCCCATTGTACA